TGCTGATACTGACTGATTGCCAGACGATCGAGTATGACAGGAGACTGTCTGAGACACTACCAACAGTCGAAGTTGACCGCACTCTTCGTGACCAGATAATTGAACTCTCGGTCACCAACAAAGCGACCATCAGTAAGTCATATAGAATTGATCCATGACGCTGACTTTGATATTTCAAAGGTCCAGAATATAATAATCAAGGCAGCGAGGAAAAGTTATTACCGAAGCTCGCGATCACCTATGGAGCTCTGTGCCGTCTTGGTTTCCAGGAAGCTTTGGTGGAAGACTGCTTGCAGAAAGTTCACAGCATTGAATTTTCCGATGCTTTCCACTGGGTAAGCCACCCTTGTTTATGGTCACACTGGACTATATCTTCCGCCTAGATGTGTCTCCACTGTCCAGAGGAAGATCTTGAAAAATTGTCAAGTGTGTGCCCGATCTCTCTTCTGGCTTGTGAGATATCGCTTACATTCATATCAGAATCTGATATCGACTCGCCCGAAAGTCACTTCACTCGAGTGGCAGAACTTCCGGGGCCCTTTTCCACGTCCATATCACATGAGACAGTGTATGGGGTGCAAAGTGAGGTTCGTGCTGCAGCTTCGCCGCTCGGACAGTCAGAGAACGGTTCATTCACTCCACGACGCCCCGCATCGAGAACAAAGTGAGCAAGAAAAGTTACTATGGTGAGTTTGTGCGCTGATGCAACAGGCAAAGTGGCACGGTACCGCCTTCAGATAATGGTGCAGAAGCGTCAAAACTCGACGAAGCGCACAATTCATCTGTGGATGCCGCTAAAAGCCGTAGTCCTACACCAGCCTTGGACGTTTTTGATCTCGACTCTGATAATGAATACGGCATCTTTGGGCAGTTACTGGACGAGATGCCTACTACAGAGACCGATCAAAATGGCACGCTCGTCACGGTAAGAGACATGGGAACTAGCAAACACTGGAATGGGCGCCTGCCCAAACTTCTATGTGCCGAAGTGGTGAAAAAGATTGATAAATATGCAGTCTTGTCATATCATGCGTTGTCGGTTAGCCGGGCTAAACGAGCTGGCCTCGAGATTATCTGGTCTGGTGGCCGAACGGAACGCTTCAAGATGATACAGGTTGGATGTCACGACGACATTCAAGCGGAGCAGTACATTGCTACCGTGGCATTGCATACTTTGACTCGAGGCACCATTGGTGGTATCAAAGAAGGAAACGGTGCAGATTTTCTTGGCACACAATATCGACAACTTCCGGCGTCATATCGTGACTTGTGGGATGAACTAGAGGCGGCCCGTGTCGAGGACCAGAACACAAAGAATCGATTGACGTGGGCAAAATTTAGGCGCATTCTAGAATCCCGGGTATATCTACAACCCAAAGTATGTTTGGACCCAGGCTATATCTGCGACTGAACTCATGCACCGTTCAGGCCACAGCAAGGAACGGCAAAGGGGCGAGCGATAAACATACCCCTCAGAAGGCCAATATCTCCATACATTATCCTGAAACCATGTCGGAGCAAATACGATGGGAATTCCACAATCGTCAGGCCAGCGACCTTTACCAGGCCATGCTCGTACGTCTTAGATTTCTCATTCCTTGAGGTGCGTTGAATTGTACGTCGCTACTGCAGGAGCAGCGCAACAGGCTGCCTATTGCTCAATACCGGGCTGAGATCTTGGAAACGATGCGTTTGAATCAAGTATTTGTGTTAAGTGGTGAAACCGGTTGGTGTGTGTCTATCCTGTCACTTCTCTTGGAGGCCAACGCTTATGGAACGCTCAGCGGTAAATCAACCCAAGTACCAGCTTTCATACTGGAAGATCAACTAGGCAGCGGCGTGCCTTGTAAAGTTTATTGCACTGAGCCTCGGCGCATCTCGGCCCTGTCGCTAGCACATCGTGTATCGCAGGAGCTCGGTGAATCGACCACTTCGCTGGGATCGTCAGGGGGTTTGGTCGGATACGCCATTCGCTTAGAGAACACCATATCCCGTAATACTAGGCTCGCATACGTCACAAACGGTATCGCTCTCCGAATGCTCGAAAAGGACAGCAGCATGGGGTCATCCGCATTCGACGAAATCACGGTATGGCTAGGTGAACCTTGTGGTGCAGAAGTCCTAACTTCCATCGTAGCATATTATCATAGACGAGGTAAGCATCAAGACCGCTCGATATCCGTTAATTCAGTCCTGATGTCAGACCCTCAGGTTCACGAAAGAACCATAGAATCAGATTTCCTATTACTTTTATTGCGGAAGTTAATGGAGGAGAGAAAGGACCTTAAGTAGGCGACAAACTCATGAACTGAATACCGTCTTCATTTCTTTGTCCAGGATCATTCTAATGTCTGCAACCGTCGAAGCTGAAAAAGTTGCCAGCTATTTTGGTGGATGCCCGATCCTACGAATACCGGGAAGAACTTTCCCGGTCGAAGTCCGGTACTTGGAAGATGTCCTTGAGATGACTGGATGGAGCATAGATGAAGCGTCGCCGCTGGCTGTCAGAGGTATCTCTATCTGTATCCTTCTCTTTGCCACCTCGCGTGCTGATCGCGCATAGACAACTATCGACTTGCTCGGCAAACCAAAGCAAAGCTTGGAGCCAGGGACCAACACGCACTCGATCCGGCTTTAGATTACGATGACGATGGATACACAATGCTCGGTGAAAGGAATCTTAAGAAGCAATATTCGGCCCAGACTATCTCGACCATCAGACTCTTAGATGAAAGGCAGATACCTTATGAACTTATAGTCAGGCTTCTTGAATGTTTGTGCTTTGAGGACCTTGATCTCCAGCAACACTCTGGCGCTATATTGATCTTTTTACCTGGTCTCGGCGAGATAAAACATCTCAATGATCTCTTAATGGAGCATGCCATGTTTGGAGAAGAACAACTATTTCGGGTCTACCCTTTACATTCTACCATATCAAATGAGAATCAGGGTGCTGTATTCGACATACCTCCGCTTGGGATACGCAAGATCGTCATTGGTGAGATCTCGTGGATAGATATGCGTATTTTTTTCCGTTTGTTGATATCGATCTTAGCCACGAACATTGCCGAAACAGGAATTACTATTCCCGATATTACCAGTGTAATAGATGTCGGAAAACATCGAGAGATGAGGTATGAGCTTACGTGTTTCGTTCTACTGTTCAACTGAATAGTTGTCAAGATTCGACGAGAAGAGACAAATAAGTCGCCTGACAGAGTCGTTTATTGCCAAAAGTAACGCATCTCAACGACGGGGCCGTGCTGGTCGTGTTCAGGCCGGCGTTTGTTTTTGTTTGTTCACTGAGGAACGGCATGCTCAGGTAACAGTCCTGGGAGGCACGAGACTAAACAACAGTGTTGACATCTTCCCACAGATGCCAGAATATCCATTACCGGAGATCATGCGCTTGAGTTTGGCTGATTTGGCGCTACGGATTAAAATCATGAAAGTAGAACTTGGCGATTCCATCGAACATGTATTGTCACAAGCTCTTGACCCGCCCAATCCTCTCAACGTCCAACGAGCTGTGAACTCTCTCATCGAGGTTCGTCGACGCCAGTCAAGAAAACCAGAATTCTGCTTTAATTCTTATAGACAAAAGCATTGACTGCCAAGGAAGAGATAACCCCAATGGGGAGACTTCTCAGCAAACTCCCAACGGACGTGCACCTAGGAAAATTCTTGCTCATTGCTACCATTTTCAAGTGTCTTGATCCGGCGCTCACCATCGCTGCTGTGTTAAATTCTAAGTCGCCGTTCGTGACACCGTTTGGCATGGAGAGCGAGGCCGAAAATGCTAAACGGTCGTTTGAATCTGGTATGTGACTTCAGTATATTTGACCCCATAAGCGCTTATATCGGTCTAGACGACTCAGATTTCTTGACCATCTCGAATGCTTTCTCAGCTTGGCGTCGAGTATCTCAGAATCAATCGGGCAGCTTTACTCGAAAATTCTGCAAAACGTCTTTCCTGAGTCATCAGGTAGGGTCTGCTCAACCTGGAAAATTGTGTATTTTATTTTTCTTCCAGAATCTTCAACAAATCGAAGAACTGAGGCAGCAATTTCTTGGGTTTGTTTGACATTGATCCTACATTGACGATCTGAACTGACTACGGTCCAAGCTACTTGATCGATTCCTCGTTCATCAAGGCAGATACTCAATATATTCGTGAATTAAACAAGTACGTACTATAACTACCCGCCCTTCTTCCTATCTCGACAAAAGATAATAACCGAAACTTTCTCCAGACTGCGTCACGGACGCCATCGCAATAAGTTTGTGGTGGTGCCACAGGCTCTGGATGATAACACCGAGAAAGCTGGAATATTGGAAGCTGTACTCGCTGCTGCCTTTTATCCAAAACTTTTACATATCGATCGGCAAAGTGGACTCTTACGGACGGTTGGAACCAACCAGATTGCCTCCTTCCATCCATCATCGGTGAATTTCGGTAAACGAGCTGATAGTTTCGCACGTGATTATTTGTGCTATTTCACGATCATGTCCGCATTTTTTCAGTAAATATGTCGAACCTCTGCTGATGTGTGATCTCTAGGCATTCCAAGAAACTTTATGCTTGGGAAACGAGCCCAATCCATGAACTTGCGCTGTTAATATTCTGTGGAGAGGCAGATTTCAAGGTTCGTATCATATTTGTTTGCAGCACCCCCCCTTCTCAGTTGTTATCCAGGCACATTCTAAAACACTGGTATTGGATCACAAGCTGAAGTTTAGGTTGGATCCCAAGACGATCGCTGCTGTGATAATATTAAGGGAGCAGATGAATGCAGTTATCAATTCGCACATGCGCGACATGTCTTTGTCGGAAGGTTTGAGCCAATGGCTCAATGTAGGTTTGGCAGTTTTCAGCAGAAGAATTGGCTCTTCAACAGTACAGTAATGTTGTAATGGTAGTGAGGGTAAAGCTGAGTAAAGAGCGCGGTGTTGATATGGCATGTTATCATTGTGCATCTTGAGCACGACTCCGATGTTCTGGCCTGGTGGAACAATGGCTAGTTCGTCTGTTTCCGGAGCAGGAGGCTGTGGGTTCGAGTCCCATCCGGGTCGTAATTTTGTCAGTTCGACCTCTGAGGTTGCACGTGCAGGAGATGCCCTGATTATACAAGTCTTTTTCACTGGGTCGAACGTTACTTCTGTCCAGGACATAGTCGCGTCTCGTGTCGGATCTCAAATGTGAAAACTGACAAATCTCATTGTGATAGCACTCATGACGACGACATTGTTAGTCAGAAGGGTTAAGTCAAAGCATCATTGTGCAGGTTAATCCATACTCATACATACAAGCACACTTTTAATCTTTTAATCTGGTGACGAATGCGTATTTCCAAAAAGAGAACTTATCTTGCCATGTTTGGCGTCTGCAGATCAGCTGAGTTTCAACTTCGCGTTGACAGCATCATGTCATGTATGTCAAGGCCTATCGTTTTACAGTCTTCCGTGTCATTTTTTTCCATCGCACCTTTGTTTTCGAGATCAAGAGGACACCCGGTGGTCAAGAAATTCGACCTAGCGTCATCTCTTGCTTTGAGAAGGTCTTTCAGAGCTCGCAACCGCTGGTCCGCTGCAGTACTTAGCTCTTGGAGAGCACTGCGTTAACCGCTGGCTTTGGAAGATGTTCTTCACCCCCGACCTCTTACAAAAGCGTGATTCAGGATTTGGTCTGCTATGGTAAGATTCGTTGGCTATGAGAACACGTCGGGACATATGATATTCTTGAAAGGCTTGCAGCAACACTGGGTCCCAAGTCGAATTTTCGAAAGCTTGCCAAGCGCTCGATATTGACTGCAGACATTCCGGAGCTCTGTCAACTAATCACAACGCCTCCTGAACCTCTCGCATTACGGCTCTCGAGTAACTTGATGGTAGGGGTAGTAAGGTTCGTTTGACTTTGCGCCGGTACATAAGAGTCTCACCTGCTTATTTGCAGAGTGTATAAAGGTCTCAACCGCCTTGCCCATCTATATTATCATCTCAGACCTGACTTACCCTAGTGAAGCATGAAATTTTCTCGGCGGACGTGACTAGTTGTTTTGCTACCTTGAAGAAAACATTGCAAGAAATCCAACAATCTTCGAACTTGACCGTCGATCTCCAAATGCATCAGCCCACTGTGAGGTTAGTTTTGTCTGGAGCTCATCGACGGTTATTTTTGGCCAACTGATGTGTGACATGACGATCAGAGCAGATACGATTACTATACGAATGGATCCAGCAATTGAGCTCGAACTCGAGTTTGGTTTACTTGATCCTGTGAGAGTTTATCTCCATATAAGCAAGATGTTCTCAAAGGGGATTAGAATCACTTCGAAGAAGCATGGGGCCCAACCGAGAAGGAGAGTAGAGGTCGCACCAATCGGAATCATGATTTAGAATTGTCGATCCTCAACTCTTCGTCACAAGGCCTTCACCTCTTGAACGAGTCGCACGACTTCTTTTCTAGCTCATTTGACGCTGATTTGAATTTGTCTTCCATGGATGATTTTCCGTTTGGCAACGAGATGTTCCCTCCTGTTAGCGCAGGTCATGATCAGAATGTTTCATTCACTCTAGGGGATGAACTTGCTCGAGAGGCTGGCGGCTCGTGGCTAGATATTCTTGAGCATCCACTGGACCAATTGGGGGCCGGGAACTTCAGTGACGGCTTGGGGTATACATTTTCATCAGATACTGACGTGCGCTCACCATCATCGCTATCAGCGGTCGACCGGAAGATGTACAATTAGAACTTCCGGAGATGACTTATGAGCAGGAAGGATTGAATCCTTCAGATCTTCCAACAGGAGATCCACTCCCAGATACAGTAAGAATCAAAGTTCTTTTCGACATTTCGCTGGCTAACTGGATGTTTCTTCTTAAGATGGATCAACATGGTACTGCATTCCTTTCATTCCCTTGTTCTCTCTTCATCGATAACAGGAGAAGATGGCGTTGTTTCGTTGCCCAATGAGATTAATCCTCCTTTGGGCGAACCCACGCAGAAGCGCGTCATACCTGTCGAAGAAGACGGATCCGAAATGGCTGTCGTCCCGAGGAAGAAAAGGAGAATTGCACAATTTCTAGTAGATGAAAGGATGCAACTGACCGATGAAGAATTGAAGGTAATGTACCAGCGTCGCTTTGCGAGCCTGCCAGCACTAATCATATCGTCTTGAACCCAATAGCGTGCTCGGCAAGATTACGCATTAACGCAATCCCGTCTCAGATTCGAAGGAAGGCAGCGACAGCTCCAAAAGGATGCGCCTGGAAAGGTTTCACAAATGATATGGGGTGTCCCGCGCTGCTGTAGGTTTGACTTGTGCTGGTCGATTCTGACGCTAAGGAGACGATCGAGTTGCTGCTCCTCAGCTTATCAGGCTTTGGAGAGATCGCTTCAAGATGAACGCAAAATCAAACTCGGGCTACATCTACTTGGACGAACAGATAATGCAAAATAGTAATTGCTTCCTCGATACACCTACTTTTCTGCTCATATATCGCTACAACTCCAGATGACCAAGAAGTTGCAGATGGTGAGCAACAGCAAACAAATCTGTCCCATCCGGTCCATCTGGAGACGCTCGGCGAGACTCAAGGACAAAATAATTACCCCTCATTTCAACCTCTCAATACCGGAATTGATGGGCTATACGACATGCCGGAGGATTGTACGTCACTCAAATTCGGTTTGAATTTCAAAGTGTTCAACTCAGATCAGTTAACATGGATGTTGGACTGAACATCGAAAAGGAGTCATCGGTGACAAATTCCTTAATTATCTGGTAGTTAGTCACACTTACGTGGTTGTGGATGTAGGATATTGGCCAAGCGCGAGGTGCACCCTCCCGTTCCTTGTCCGTGCAGCTGTCCCCACCGCACCTGCACTCCTCCAATATCAAGCCCTATCCTGGCAGTGGTCGTCCGTCTTTTCCGTGGAATGAGACAGATGATAATAACCCACTCAGTCTTGGCTACGAGAGAATCCTTGTGGGAGGCATCGATTCAGACGTGTTTAAAATACCCCGAGAAACATCCAAATTGTTCGAGGGACGTGACAGCTCAAGCACTGGGAGGCGGTTTGGCAGTGTTCCTGGATCGCCGCTTGCGCCAGCAGCTCACCTATTTGGAGCCGACTTTACGCCTCCTTACTCTTCTTCTGCTGTGGAACACGATAGTAAGTATCATCTATCTGCATTAGCTCGGCTTTAAATTCTTGTGCACAGTATTCGGCGCGAAAGAAACTCAAGCGTCGAACGAGAGCCTGGTCAGTCTCGAGCGAAGCTCATACAAGTTTCTCGAGTCGGTTCCCTTTATGTCTGCCTTTGTTCTCGGATATTTTTACTAGCGCGCCTCACAGATACGCTCAGCTCACTCGTAACGCGCTCGCGCCGGGGCAGAAGTTAACCTTGGATGAACTATTTCGATCCAATAGGTCTCGCAGCGTCGCTGCAGCTGGCCTCTATCATACTCTAGGTCGGCATTCAGATGACTCGCTGTTACTATTACAGACTGATGACGTCGCGCTGTTCATCTAGTTCTGTCGACCAAAGGCCTCCTCAGGGTTCAGCAAGATAATCCTTATGGGCCCATCAATATCAATCTGATTTGACCCCTATCGTCCGCCAAATCATCCTTCTCTATCTCTGTCTGCCGTATCAAAATTTTTAAACATCCTTCTGTGAACCGAATTACCACTGACATCAGATCCGAATCGAGACCCGCAACCGTGATAAGCAATGTATTCCACTTGAAATTCCCAGACTCCTCAGGCTCGACACTCGTGCAATGTCTCTTGTTTACCGAGGTAGTAGTCACGACCTCCCAATGAATAAATATGCAGATTAGTCGTCTGACTTACTCTATACCAAATTCATCATGAGTACAGACCATGCCTTGATCGGTCTTTTAGTGAGTCGCCGGTCATAGGCCGGAATCCGTCGGATCGGAAGCTAGCCGGAAGCTTTCTTATTTCTCAAATCTCAAGGCGTTCAATCTGCAACTTTTCAAACTCTCGCTGGTTCATGTCGCTTTAGGGTCGATCATATAATCATGAGTGGCGCTCTCCCAAACTATCGTCTCCATTCCAAGGTGGCAATATTCAATACTGTATGTCGGGCTTATTTTTTATTGATAACCCTAGGAACAAAGTCTACCACTGAATGAAAGCTACAATCTCGTATCTTTTTTTCCTTGGTCACCGTCAGACGATTTATCGCTCCTGGTCCGGCATCACCATAATGGGCGTGATCAACTTAAGGCTGTCCTCAATACATGGGCAAATGTTGCAGTGGTATATCGCACTACCGGCGAGTTGCTGATGATGGCCCTAAAGGAAGAAGGTCCACCAGATGTTCTTACCACGATCCGCCTCGATGAAGTGAATGTCGAACTTATCTCATACCAATGCTGCTCCAACTGACTCCTCGCCCACCTAGAACACTGTTGTCTCGGCTCTCAATTGGTCACTAGATCTTATGACCTTTCATCCTCTAATCCTGTTCGCGGCAGATCAAAATCTATACGTCTGGGATGTAGTGTCCCAAATTCGTCGAAGTGCTTTGGTCGGACACGGTGGAGTTTGTAAATTGAAATCATTCGAAACTTCGAACATATTCACGCTGACCAGGAAATCACATCCATTGTTGTGCATCCTAATGATCCGGGGCTGGTGGCAACGACTTCGCGTGATCTCACAATCCGTATATGGCGCTTGAACATGTCTGATGACCCCGATTTTCGGCTCCCGTACCCTGATCGGACGCTTCGTCTATTGTCCAGGGACCAAGGAATGTGCTGTGCTGTTTTGCACGGTGGAAGGGGCGCGTCTCATGAAGGTGCTGTTCTTCACACTGTTCGTTTATCAATAAATCCAAATGCGACGATTAACATTGTCTTCAGGATTTTCACCCTTCTCTGCCTTTGATTGCGTCCTGCGGGGTGAGTAAGAAATGTCCTAAACGCAGTGAGATACATCTCAACATATATCTGTAGCTTGATCGACGCGTGAAAATATGGCGAGTGCCCAGCGTGCGCCACACTGTCGAAGCAGAGTACGGATACGGATGTCAGAA